CAAATTAGTTTCATTCATGAAATTTATACAAGATGTTTTACAACACATGCTGTTCTCTGAAAAAACAAGATATCAATTGTCAACACAGCATGTTTCGATGGCTTAACTTCGCCACGTTTGTAGAAAAATAAAATCCAGATATTTTACGAAACTTTTGACTAACAAGTCCAGGAGATTTTTCCGAGGGAAATTCATGTTCAGTCAATATATTTACCTTATTTTCGTCGAATACGTTGAAAACAAAAGAGGCAAACTTGGATGGATCGCCAAACGGAAAGAACTGTTTATAAATCTTCTGGAACTCCTGAGAATAGAAGAGACAAGAGCAATTTCCTTGCAACCTTTTTAACAAGTTTCAAATTATTTTTCAAAATCGCCTCTAATAGTCTTCAGAGCGCTATGTTACTCCAGTGCTTCACGTAACTTCCTTAGCGTACTAAACGCGAAATCGCGCAACTTTGATGTTCATAGAAGATTACTCAAATGTTAAGCTAAATTCTACTTACCAATTCATTAAGGTTGCCCGATGGACAGTCTTTGAGGAAACCTTTATACCTATGTGAGATATATATGTCGTTCACATTAGCACTTCCGAATTCAAGTTATCGACAGCTCTTAATTTTTTTAAATGAGCCATCTGTTCTTGAGCAGCACGAACACCTTTGTATTACAGGAACTTACCATTGTTGTAATTCCTTCTCGCTGACTGAAACAGAAGTAAATACAATAAATTAAAAGAAGTCCTTAAAAAAATATTTCCCGAAGTGATACACACGAAGTGCCGCCAATCGATTCCTCGTGGACAAACGATTGAGGACAGCTAGACGTCATACATGTAGCTGTCTGACTAAAATAAGCAATAGTGATACAATAATGGAAATGTAGATCAGCGACTCACAATAGGTTTTGCGAACCAGTTCGGTGACTAATTCAGGCTTTAACTTGCAATTCTTTTGCCCCATTTCACTCAAACCCAAATGATTAATTACAGTGTTGTTCCCAACGACCACACATCCTCGGCAAAAGTATGCTGCGTCTCTCTTGAGATTTTTTGAAGTACGTATGTGACATTATAACGTTGTCATGGAGATTGCGTTACACCCAGTGACGTTACTTTACATTTACAGTAACTTTGAAATCTCCCTAATCAATCTGCTCCTAAATATATGGCTATTGAAATACTTTGAACTAGAGAAATATGTTCTGTGAAACGATTTTTGATGTTGTGGCATTTCACTGTAGCATCTGATGAACTGCAAATATGCTTGTTGAAGGTCTGAAAGATAACTATGAAATGCGCCAGTGGCAAACATATATCATCCGCTTCTAAATCCCATTAGCCTTCAAATCAAGTGTATACTTTTCAGCATTATTTGTTAATTAAACTCCAAATAGAATGAGTCGGGCACTTCTTTACTACGATAGAGTGCATTTTTTAAACGCTCAGCATGGGTTTTTCTCATTATTTGAGTAATTTTACGGGTTAAAATAAATTATCATATAAGTGCTGATGACGCATTCTAAAATTATGGGGAACAGATTAAATTCAACACATTCTAGAATCATTTATTTTAAAATAAAAGGGAAAAGATCTAAAATCCAGGGAATTCAATCGTAGTTTCAAATTGGCATAAATTCGAGTGTGTAAAATGTTCTGTAAGATATTTTTTTGTATCAGAGTTTCCCACGACGATCCCACAAAATCCAGATAGTGTAACGCAGCTTTCGGTTTGGTCGACAGAAGAATAGAATCATATAAAATTTGCATCAATATTACATTGGGCGGAGTTAATATAATCGGAATAAAATAAAGCCAAATTAAATAGTGCTCACAAAAACAAAAAAGTGTGAGGATATATAAAACGAAAGAAACCCAGTTGAATAAAATACTCGATTAAATCTTATGACGATAAAAACCAAAAGAGTATTCGAACAAAGTAAGAACTGGCGTTTTTTCCCCCTCAGGTCAGAGATAAATTAAAATGGGTTGATAATGATAGCAAACCCTTAAAATATGATCAGCCAATCAGGAAGGACTATAAGCTTGCGCGTTAGGCATGAAATCCTGCGCGAATGACGAGCCAATCCCGATCAAGAAGCAGCCCACGTGGAAAATATCATAGAATTCAGCCGAGCAATGCAAGCGGTATAAACACTACAACCGGCTGAGAAAGAAATTAACCGCTTTGGTCTCATGAGTACAAAAATCGAGAAAGAGCTTTAAAAACAATAATACCGAGTGTTACCTGCGCAAATCAATGGTAAACCCTTGAAATGCGGGTTGGCTGTGATAGTAAACCTTTACAATTCTGGAAGCCAATCAGGAAAGAGTTTGAACTGTCTGGTTCAGCGTGAAACCTGGTGCGGTTTTCAAAGTCTTTACTCGACTTTTGACAAACAAGAGGGCAAACATGGTTATTTATGTAGGGCAAATCTATATTTTTGTTATCACTCATTTTATTTTTGACCAACAATTATTCATGTAACTTCTAAGGTTCTTGGAAAGGAATGGAAAAAATTAATAAATGATGTAAGTCTTCTTTACTGACTTCTGTTTTGAGTTAATCTTATGTTAAGACAACTTGCAATTGTTCCCTTGCTTAAGTCATGTTCCCAAAATTTAAGTCCTATAACTATGCCTTTACTGTTTTATGATTCAGAAACTCTTATATTTATCTGCAATTAATATTATTTTTGTTTGCAGTCGTAACTTTCATTGGAAAGTAATGGAAATCTTATGCAAGAATTGAAGAACTCTCGCTCCTGAACTAAGGGTTCACACTCAATGTTGACCATGCTCGCAATTTTTCATCAACAAAAACAAAAACTTCTCCAGGTAAGCATATATCTACTCTTTAGCTTTTCAGTTTTAAATACATCACTAATTTTTCATCAGAGTTTCTTGAAAAATTTTCAATGGATATTTTTTATGATGCAAATGCAACACTGCTTGAAAGAACGTCTTTTTACGGCAATTTAAATGGAAATTTTTCCTAAAAGTTTTCGAACAGCATGTATGGTAAAAATAATTATTGTTAATCAACCTCATAGCATATGCTTCTTCGTTTTGGAATATAATTTCACTCTTTCAAAATCAAATTCTCGCATCGAAAAGACACAAGAAGGACGTGCTTAACATTTGGCGCGAAATAGTTTCAGTGAGGAAAATCCTTCCTTACACAAAAAAAAATTGTTCTATTTATGATCGTCATATTTATGATCGTTGCTTTGTTGTCTACGAAACTCCTCTATAATATCAGTTATTGTTTGCAAAATATGGAAGTTCTAATTTTATAATTTGGCAGGAAAGGTCTTTAAGTATCAAAGTTGCGATGAAAAGGAAAAATAATTTTTGGAATCTATCTTGAAACTTTTCTGTTGTCTTGAAGGGGAAAAGTAACGATCTTTGTCTTTTCATCGTATACAAAATTTCTCGTTATTATCTTAGAGTTCAATTTCTGATACGCATTGTACACCTTTGCGCGTGTACTTTTGTTGCCCTGTCTATGAGCATTTATAAACGGTTTCTTCTGGATTTTCGTGAATAAGCAAAAAATTGGAGAGCCAGAGAGAAATGGAGGTACATTAATTACCTCTTATCAGCAGGGAGTTTAGTAACTGAATAGCATGCGAACATAAATTATACTTCACGACTGAAACTTAGCTTTACATTTGTAAGTTTTAATCAAGCACGCAAGATTTTAAATATTCCTAGTGCTGCATTATGTCACTGTTGGACCTACACAAAGATACAAATGACAATTGAAAAGGGTACTACATTAAACTACACTGAGAGAAACTTGAGACTTAGATAATTTCATACTTTCAAACAGATTTGTAACTTTTATACACACTCTTTAAATAGTAACTAAAAGATACAGGAGATCATATACACTTGTTCACAAGAGGAACCAAATCATAAATAATAAATTATTTCACGCCTTACCTAATGAATATTTTACAACTCCAGTGTAAGTGAAAACGAGTGTTTGCATTGTTGTAATAAATGTTCCCTTACATTATGGTTTTTATCAAAATTTGCACAGTGGAAAGATCATTTTAAGGTTTAAACTACAATGCTGTCATGACGTAGGCTTAGGGACATGTCAATCAACATTTTAGTCTCCAAGGAAAGTGCGCAGAGGGGAATAGAGGAGTCTTGGAATTCAATAATGCCTCTTACATATGCTAGATAACATCAAGTGTATCATGTGAATAAGCTAACACTGATCAGCTAAGTAGTAGCTACATCACTACTTTATCTCTCCATCTCTCCATACATGGCAAGGCATATCCTTGGTAATGAAGGTATTCATCCTCCATCTCCAGGAAAACCCTCCCTTGCAGTGGAGCATCCTTTTATAAGCTAAGAATATTCCCATTTCATTCTCATACTGTGCCCTATTCAGTATACATTCCTTTTCCTTGTGAATTCACGTTTAAAATTTCACTGCTCTGTGAGAATAACCTCTCAACCATAATTGTAAGTCATTTAACTTTATGGGCCAATGTTCAATGAAGCACCTCCCTCAGAGAGACCACTGAATGTGAAGAACAAAAGCCCAACACATAAATGAAAAATATTGACTTGTTCAATGAAAGTTTCCAAGCTAGCTGTAGGAGAATTAATTGCTACCAGCTATATGCACATGTAAGACAGTGTAGATCACACTTTCTGAGAAATTGAAATATGTGGGTCAGTCATCATCAGCTTGTGAGGAATCCTCCTGTGGTAGATCAATAGCTAGGGCCTGTACTATCCAAGGGTCACACTTGGAACCCTCACGAAACTCCTCCATAGTTAACTTGCCATCTTTGTTCTACATGTTGTTAAAGACAACAACACAAAGTTTGTTAGTGCTTCATCTAGCCCCCTTACATCAACTTTGGTAAATATTACAAAAAAAAGCATTACCATCTCAAAAACCAATACTACTACTGTTCACTTTTTAGAATCACAGTGAGAGAATTTTTATTTTTAGTACTCACCTTGTCCATTTGTTTAAAAATCTTGGTTACTCTTTTTTCTGGCGTGTCTTCATCTTTTGGCAAATCTATAATATTACCCTACAAAATGCAAAAAAAAAGAAAAGAATTCCCATTTTTCACTACTGGAGATAACACCATTCGTGGTGTATGTGAAAAAATTTCTTCATTCAGATTGGCTTGGAGAAATGCAGTTTTCACCAGAAATTTCAGAGGTAGTTCAGCAAAAAGGGGGTAAGTCAGTGTAAAAGAAACTAACAAACTATTTAGCTACCCTTACTGTTTTGCCTGAACATATTTATGACCCAACACAAAATGAAAATTGCAGGGTTTGAATAAATTATTTCTGTATGTGAATCACGCCCTTTGCTTCCATAAGACTATCTCAAAAATTTTTAAATGTACAAAGTAAATTGTTGATATGCATATGTAACTACATACTAGTGTTACATAATATTTCTCATGCAATTTGAAATGAACAACAATCTTGAATTGTTTTAAGGTTACCCTTGCAGTTGTTCTATAGGCTCAAACAAGTTTTGATGGTCTTTAAAAATCTTCCTAGTACTTATTTAAACAAAATTGCAACTGAAATCATGTGACAGCTAATCAGATAATTGATGAAGTTGGAACACTTTTTCTGGAGGAATTTACTTGCGCCTGATGAAAGATCATTCACAGAATGCAATTTTTGTTTCTAAATCTATGGTATACAGAAACAAAAACAGATTTGTAGTGTTATGGTTGACATACCACCATACAATAGATTGCTTCTACAATCTTAAGCATTTCATCTCTTGTGATGTATCCATCTTTGTCAAGGTCGTAAAGACTAAATGCCCCTAAATAAAATTAATGACAATGAATAAAATAAAAATTAAAAACCCAATTAAAAACCTTCGAGTCTGAGTGTGCATTGAGAGTAGGTCTCACTTCGAGAATAAAAAACATTTCATAAAGTAGGCAGTCAGGTTTGTTCAAACACTTCTCTTATAAAGAATTTTAGTGTTTTAAAGAAGTGTACAAACAAATTTGACTACCAACTACAAGAACTGAGACC